GAGGAAGGTAGCCGGGATCCGTCGTACTGCAGTGGAATAGGCAAAACCACATGACTACATTCATGAAGAAGAACACAGTGTGTACCAGTTGTAGGTCATACCAGGTGTATGGTAGGCACTGAAATATTACAAACATAAAAAGATATATCAATAACTAGCAGTGTGTCTGTTATATGCGAGAAAGTCACTTACAAGTAATTCTTAAAGATTATATATGTGCATTATTGGCATACAAATTAATTTAAGACATTTTCAAAGTGAACTTGAGCTTGATGTTTTTGTCATGTGACTATTTCAATTTCTGTAATGTGACTACATGTTTTTAATGTGTGTCATGTGAATACAACTATTTTGGTTTGTGTCATGTGACAATTTCAGTTTGTGTCATGTGACTACATGTATTTCAGTTTGTGTCATGTGACTACATGTTTTATCGGTTTGTATCATGTGACTTTTTAGTTGCAGTCATGTGACTATATCAGCAATCAGTATAACGGAAGTTGTAGACTGCTCTACACTAACTTCACTAAGACAAAGTGTTTAACTTCTTACATCATATAACTATCAATCATGTTTAGTATAAATAATTTGTGTTACATGTGTATCATATTCATAAATTACCAGTATCATAAATACAATACAGTTACTTATACACTTCACAGAATACTACAAGATAATGAACATTTACATATATTTAGGTTTTTGAACACTTCTGAGTAAAAGATACCACTTACCTTGATTATATACATGGGGTAGCCCCACAACAGGAGATTGCAGAAGAAGAATAACAATGGACCTTTACTATTTCCAGGTGGACCAAATACTATTGACCTGTCAGAAGCAAAAAACAAAACAATGTATTCTTTCCCTTATCTTATATATATACGCTCACTTATTATAAATGTGCACAAAAATATACTATTAACTAAGCTATGTACAAATTAAAGATGAAAATATTCAACATTTATTGCAAATTATAGCAAACTTCACAAGACGTAAGCATAACTCTCACTTCTTAAAAGTCAAAGAATTAGAAAGGAAAAGAATCTAGCATGAGTTGAAAAAAGCAACTTTAATCAAACGTAAGACTTCATTTGCATAAAACAAATATCACTTATAAAAAGTAATCAATTTTGTTTGGAACTGCAGTAAGAAACACACCAAATATTTCATGAATGTACACTGATACATTAAAAAGCTTACCAAAAATCTATTTTTGGCATAAAACTAGTTTTCTGTTTGAGCTCGGCTTTCAGATAATCTATGACAGCTATATGTTTACGCCCTGTAGCCAACATCAGTGGGGTTTTCCCATTCTTATCAGGCAAGCCTAACTCTACGCCATCCTACAAGATATACATTTTCTCTAGCTGAATCTAAATAGCTTCTATGTACGTGAAAAACATAACAACAAACTCGCAAGTTGTAAAACGCTTACAAGGTAATGCACAAGTTATTAATACTGGTGCTTTTAAAAACAATTATTATAATATTTTTGGCATAAGACAGTTCAAAATTCAAAATATCACTTTTAAATTGTATCCTTCTGAACTGAAAGTTCATCAACATTCATTGCAATTTCAAAACAATAATAATACATGTTTTCTAATATGTTGAATTAACATTTTTAAAAGTACACAGTATTTCTAATAGGGAAAAGCAACTATCAATTTTCATATTTGTTTCGCATCCATTTGACATATAAAAATGTTAATCTGCGAAAACTACATGTACATCATTTTTAATGTAAACCAATAAATTGTATCTAGCCAATTAAAACTATAAAATTACTATATACACTTACTTGCTCACATAACTCTCTAACACTAGTAAGGTCACCATTTATACATGCCAAATGTAGAGGAGTTTGACCGAAGTTGTCTTTCTGACGTGGGTTAAACCCAGAATAAATCAACAATCTCATCAACTCTGATTTTCCTGTAAGAAATTTACATCACACATTTCATAAATTTTAGTAACATCAATATAATAATAATTGAATCTATTATCCTTCAATTGCCCTTTAATAAAATTTCTGAATGAAGTGCAGCTTACCTTTTATGAATGAATTGCAGCTTAGGATTATTATATTATTTTCACTGTTATGAATGAAGTGACATTAAATTCCATGAAAAAATGTTTTATTGCAGTAAATCATTATACAAAATATTAATATCTGACTTGTATTTGCAGTTCAGATTGAAACATCCATCCCTCGGGTACCAGCCCATATTATTAATCTATATGTAGCATTCAGGTAAACAGTTACCTTCAAGTTAGATATTATGGTCTGCACTGGCAGCCAGTGTATTATTTATTATACTGTACAACAATTACCTTTGAATGCAGCCCAATGAAGTGCTGTGTCTCCATCTCTATCTACCATTTGTAATCTGGCACCTTTACCCATTAGATATCCAGCTAACATTGTCTGTCCATACTGAGCTGCCACAATCAATGGTGTACAACCCTTATTGTCAGTAATGTCTAAACTAACACCAGCTTGAATAAGAATGTCTGTGATAGCTATATGCCCATTCACACATGCCCAGTGTATGGGACGAGCACCAAGATCATTGTTACTCGGTTCATTCACTGGTGCCTTATGTTCAAGTACATATCTAAGTATAGCAGTATGTCCCCCTAAACAAGCCCAATGGGCTGGCGTGTGTCCCTTTTCATCTCTCATTGACAGAATATCTGGCCCCTCTTGCTCAACAATGGCCTGAACTGGAACCAACATCCTAAAACATACAAAATATCCATTTGAAATGCATCTACAATGTACCTTATATTTTACCAGTTATATTTTACAAGGCAAAAATTTACAATACCTGTTATTAGTAACTTACTGAAGGCATCTTTAGTAACTACAATGTAATAGATGAGCTATTTATTTAAGAAAATCAGAACTTGTGAAATTGTATTGAAAATGAAAGAATATTAAATGGGTGTGGGACCTTTAACTTATATATGTCAGATGTATTGCTGATTAACACAAAGACTTCAGGATTGAATCCTTTTCTACTTTTAAGTGTTCTCAGGTAATTCATAAAAACTTTGAAACACATCCCGTCTGTTAAGCAAAAATGTAATACACCTGCATCAAGGTATCAGTACAAAAACATTAGTTATTTACAGTCTATGCGAAAGACTTCTGAGTTTTACTGGACAGTAGGTCCTGTAAACTGAAAATTTTTACTGGACCAAACATGATTTTACTGGACCGAAAAAAACCTGATTGGTATAGCATTTTGAGTCACTTGATAAGTGTCAGCACTCAAAAAATTTGTGTACAAAAAGAAAATTATATTATCAACAAAGTGAAGTTATCTTTTTTCACCACAATCAAAATGTAAACATAAATATTGTTATACATGTATTCAATGGATTTTGCTATTTAAACTTAAATTCTATACAGACTATATACTAGCAAAATGAGAGAGTAAATTTCAGCAAAAGTCTGGCATATGTAAACAGAATTATATATAGCGGTAATTTAGTGAAGTTGACAGATTAATTGTTTAATGATTTTGGTACCTTCACAGTATAGTTTAATTTTTGTCAACATCTTGGACGATCTTTCATAGCTAAACACCAGTTGAGCACACGTGTAATTAAGCATTACTTTAAGTCTGTGGATTAAAGACGTAAATTGTTCCAATTAATACACCAGTTGACACTTTCATCTGTGTAAACAAACTTTCAATTGTACTAGTTGTCGGATATTATTATCTTTCGTAGTTACATAAAAGTTTGCATTATGAGAATGCATAACAGTTGACAAGCATTGCACGAGCTTATATTGTGTAATGACAACATTTTGATATGTTTTGAATTTAGGTAAATGATCGGCCTTTGCAAAATGTTGAATGTAAGGTTTTAATTTTAATTATTTTTTAAATTTTTTTACCGGACCGTCGGGCCGTCAATACATATATTTTTATCGGACCTTCTGATTTTTTACCGGTCAGGGCCGACGGTCCGACGGTCTTTCGGAAAGACTGTATTTAGTATTAAAATGAAAACATACAGGTCACAGAATTGTTGTTTTTTCTTTCATTAAATGAATCTTTTGGATTTTTGTTAATTTATGTTATCTATGTTTATTAATTTATTTTATCCGCGTGAAAGAAAATTAAATCCAAATATGTAATACTGAATGGTATGGACTACTTTTCGTAACTTTTAGGTTCTTCTGACAATTTTTTGTCATCACCTAGGCAATTAATAATTAAATTAATATAATTTCGTTCGTCAAGGAATAATTTTACTTTTGTTGGGTGTACTATGAAACCTTTATTATTCTCAAATTACACAAAAAGATCTGTGACAAACTGGCTACATATTATCTGTAAAACAAGTTGTAAATATATATAAATAATCCAGACTTAGCAACCAACAAACATGACAAATCAACAAACCATTTTATCTATTGAGGAATAAACTTTTAACTTTTACCTAGAAAAAAAAAAACATGTTAAATAAGAAAGAAATATACAAGTAGTAGTAACTTAGAATTATATGAATATGTGTTAAGTTTAAGATACACCTGTTAGGGCATGACCCAACAGGAAAAATAATTTGACATGACCGGTCAATTTTCCGTAGAAGATTCTGACATATCTGCACTAAGTCGTTCCTTACTTACCCAGATTTGATAGCATCAAATATAGGATGTGATTTATGCGAGTGTGCATCGCCATCTGCATCCTTGGGATCAGTCCCTGGTTCGTAAAGTAGAGGCTGCTCCATTTGCGACTGACTTGTCCAAGTCGACATTTTGGTGTTTACTGTAATAAGAAATAGTAAAGTATTTGGACGAAATATTTAATTTTCAAAAGCTATCAGCATAAATAATTTCACAGAATTTGCTATAAACTAAATTATAAAATTAGGAATATATTGTTGTAGATGGACAAGTATCAGTATTTGAGATATATCTTTAATTGCTTCTGAATATATTTCGTTTTATTTTAATTATTCTAATTGTTACGCTACTTCCGCTTTCGGTTTGTTGGAAAAATAATAAAAATGTGAACATCACAAGTTGTTAAATTTAACACCACTAAAGCCATAAGTATATTATTCTAGTGAAATTATGATTCTTACAAAAAATTTCACGATAATCATACTATATTTATCATTGTCATTAGTTTCTGGAGAATTTATGACTGCAGGGGTTGTGGCTGTGGGCTCTGCTATTTCTGCAGGCTTACTGGCAGGGTTCAATGTGATAAACTGTATGATTTATGAATGTTGTACTGACAGATGGTTGAAAGCAAATTACACAGGTAATTATCAAGTCGCATACATCGAGACTTGGGGTACCAATGAGGTGTAGCCCAACAAATTGTGCGCTTTAGGGCTTTTTATTATATAGATGATGGTCGCCCTTCGCACAGACATCTATGAAAAATCAGATTATAAAATCGGTCGGTCTTGCAGGTAAAATATTGAGACAATAGTGAGGTGTAGCCCAACAAATAATGTGCGCTTTAGGGCATTTTTATTTTATAGACAGTGGTCGCCCTTCGCACAGACATCTATGAAATGTCAAATTATAGAAACGATCAGTCTTGCAGTCGAAGTATTGAGACGACAATGAGGTGGCCCTTAGGGGAGCGGTGTTTTAGTGGTTAAGGTATCTGCCTCTCAACCCAGGGATCATCATCATGATGATGGTATAATACGGTATTTTTTTTCATATATGTAAAAATTGTTTGAAAACCATTTTTAGCTCGACTATTCGAAGAATATGAGAGCTAAATATTGTAGTCGCCCCGGCGTCGGCGTCTGCGTTGGTTAAAGTTTTTTGTAAAGTCAAATATCTCAATTATTGCTTGAGATATTCAATTGAAACTAATACAATACTTATTTATAGTAACAAGGTACATCAGATTGACAAGTTGGATAACTCTGCCTTAGAGCTGTCATTGATTCAGTGCAAAGCATATCAACGATATATCGATATCAAGTGACTAAAATCAACGATACACCGATATATCGATAATATCCTATACTCACTTGTCTGTCATTCACTTTTATACCTGTTTCAATGATTTCAGTCAAAAACATGTTCTGTACAGTGTCTTGTCCACTGCATGATATTTTCCAGACAATATTTTTGTCACCATTGCTATGAAATAATTCCACTATATAACAAAAGCATAACATTAGATATAAATTACTGCTTCTGTATATATTTTTGGTGAATTTTATAATTTCTAGACATTTAATTTATTAGTCAAAAGTATCGATTTTTTAAAATGTGTATTGATTATTGATCGACAAAAAAATATCAACGATACATCGATATTGTCGATATCGATGACAGCTCTACTCTGCCTACAATATTGACAGAATTATGCCCCTTTTTAACTTAGAAATTTTGGTTAAAGTTTTTTTGTAAAGTCAAATATCTCAATTATTGCTTGAGATATTCAATTGAAATTTACAATACTTTGTTATAGTAACAATGTACATCAGTTTGCAAAATTGCATAACTCTGCCTGCATTATTTGCAGAATAATTTGCCCCTTTGAAACTTAGAAATTTAGGTTAAAGGTCTTCAAAGATATTTACTTGAAACTTTACACATGTACTTAGGGTCATAATTGGAGGGTCATAATTGTATGTCACTGACCAAGTTCCATAACTCTATCTTGCATTTAGGCTGATTCATCTCCCCTTTTCTACTTAGTCGTTTACATGCAAGTTTTACATATCTCAATAACTATTAAAGATATTTATTTAAAACTTCACATATGCATTTAGGGTCATAATTGTAGGTCACTGACAAAGATCCATAATTCTATCTGGCATTTAGGCTGATTTTTCTCCCCTTTTTCTACTTAGAAATTCGTGGTAAAGTTTTGCTTGTAAGCTGTTATCTCCATAACTACTGAAGGGTTTGTGCCTTTTTTGGGACAATTTTATGCATTCATAATAATAAAGCAGTGATTTACTTGATAAAACATCTTAATAACAAGCCTTTGTACCTTTTCTGTCAATTTTATGTTTTCATAGGTAATTAGTATTATTATACTCAATAAAACACCCTTGTGACAACCTTCCGAATAGTCGAGCCAAAACTGTCCTCCGACAGTTCTTGTTATCGTTGTAATACATGTCCCATTTATGTTTAAATATTAAAATAGTTTTGATAGAGTGTTTACCAGGGTGTATCACTTTGGGGGGGGGGGGGGGCAGGATCTGACCCCAAGCGTCTGTGGGTTTGAGCCCTAATTGGGCCACAACCATGTTTCTTCATATGACACCAGTACTGCTTGGTTCCAGGAAGCAGACTGAAAAGTGATGAATATAAATTGCAAGAACTTCAGTGTTTCGCAATCGAGCGTGAATGAATAGTTTTGCAGTCAAGTTAAAATAAATATGTGTTACAGGGTGAGACAAATGTGCAGACTGACTGGGACTCAAACCCAGGACCCTTGGAATACCATACTGTGGCTCTACCAGCTGAGCTATATGGCGGATTACACTCTCTGCCCTAAATAGTGAACAGTTCTGAACCTTGACATACTCTACTGCTATATTGAAATTTGTCCTCCTTTTTTAATGGTTACAATAAGAACAATATGAAATAGGACTCAGAGCTTTATGACATAATGGTCCACTATTAGGCGCTAAATGTCTCAGGGTGTGGCAAATGTGCAGTCTGACAGGGACTCAAACCCGGGACCCACAGAATACTAACTGCCGCTCTACCGACTGAGCTATCTGGCAGATTACACATTATCTCCTTAAAGAGTTAACAGTTCTGAGCCATGACATATGTTTAAACCAATACCTGAGTGCCAGTCCTTGCCACCTTATGCACAGGAAACTGAAGTTAAAAAAAAAATGTTTTGGGGAAAAAAAAGTCTTATATACATAAAAACAAATAGAAGGGTTGATTTTTTTTTCTTGAAACACTTTTATTTTTTTTTAAACTTCAGTTTCATTTCGAGTTTCAAGGGCCTATTTGTAATTTCAATGCAAATCCACTGTGGGTTTCTGTCTCACTCAGTAGTAATAAAGCACTTAAAAAATGTATCTATACTGACCCAGAGTAAGGTATTGAAAGCATTCTTTATGACATACATGTAGATTATATAGTCTAACATATTACAGAATACATATTGTCTGAAAGCATGAAGTGTCTGAAAATAATTGGGATGATGTTTAGGGGCTCTATAGCCGCTAAAGCCATCCCGGAACACCACTCACTGTTGGATCTTTGCTTGTTGTTATGGATATTGATTATTTTCAGTTTCTGTATGGTAATAATCTTAAGTTTGGTTCCTTATAAGGAAGCTCCCACATTTATTTATGTTGATGACCCATGTTTGCATGGTTACTTTTTTTATCAAACAAGAAGCATATTTGTTGTACATGTAATGATGTATATTTTTATCTCAAATATATTTATACTCCAAGAAATGAAATGAGTTTAAATTTTGTCTTTAGATGGTAAGACCACTAATATTTTACAAAGTTAATTTAAGTGGTGGGTAGGGGTATGCATCACCTTTATTGATAGCTCTTGTTTTGCTTCAAATCACATTGATGTATATAATATATAAAAAATGTTTTGTTTTCCATCTTTTACAGATCTGAAATTAACCTTAGATGCTAAGTTATATGGACAGCATCTGGTTATTGAACCTATAGTGAAGCATCTGAAAGCACATGGTAAAGAAAACCCAAGTAAAGCCCTTGCTTTGTCTTTTCATGGGTGGACAGGAACTGGCAAGAATTATGTTAGTCGTATTGTGGCTGAAAAATTGTTTGTTAAAGGAATGAAGAGCAAATATGTACATCTTATCTCAGCCACGAAAGAGTTCCCACATAAAGAGATGGTACCATTTTATAAGGTCTGTACCTAATGGTTCTAAAAGCAGAAATTCTAAGCATTTTTTTCTTTTCTTTGTTCTTTTTTTTTTTTAGGGAGGAGGGGGGGGGGTACAATGCTCCACTGTCACAGTATTGATCATATGGGGACTTTCAAGCTTTGCTGGTGGAGGAAGTCTTCATGTTGCCTTCCATGCATTATTTCAAGCACAAACAGGCACCTGAGTAGAACCAGGAAAGTATGTAAGCTAGCTGGATATATTTCGCACAATTACTACAGATTTCTTATATATCAGTGCAACATGGATATGTATATCTTTAAGAAAATGTTTATCTTTATTAAAAATGTCAATCTTGACCAAGAAAAAGATATGGATTACAATGAACATACATGTGACTATCAACAAATAGTTGTATGTTTTTCGTTTATGCGTTTGTAACATTTCTTTAGAGAGCAGTCAAAGCAATATACATGTACATATAAATGTTGCTATTACCTGCTGTTTGATGCTTAATTAAAAATTGTCTATTACTACAATAAATAGGACAAGTTACGAGACTTCATAGAAGCACGTGTGAAAGAGTGTCCTCGCTCGTTCTTCATATTTGATGAGATGGACAAAATGCCAGCAGGAATTATTGATACACTCAAACCTTACCTGGACTTCTATGAAAATCTTGGTGGAGTTGACTACAGGAAGGCAACTTTCTTCTTTTTAAGGTACAGTTAAAAGTTTAAAGCTGACAGGGCTTCCATTATTGTTTCAAAATTCAAAATGTCTGACATTGGAAGTCTTATAAGTAAAGAAGGAAAAAGCATTATAATTTGGAAGTCACAAGCCAAAATCACTGTGTAAATTACTCCCAAACTTCCAATAACGGAAGTCTGAAATTAAGCATACTAAGAATAGCTGATGCATTTTATTAGCTTGACTATCTGAGAGCTATTGCACTCACCCAATTGTCAGCTTTGTCGTCACACTTTTGTTATTTTTTAGCATGCAATTTGGGTCTCCAAAACTACTGAAGGGAATAGGTTGATACTTCACACACTTATTTGAGTCTCTGTTCAAAGCCCATAACTCTAAAATGAATTTTGACAGAATTATGGCCATTTTTTTAAATAGCAAATTCTACATTTTTTAGGCTCATGTTAATAGAGAGGCTCATGAGAATAGATCACGCTGTTCTACTGGCAGCTATTTTTATGCACCCGGGCATATAGTAATTGAACCGTCCGTCCGAGCAAACATTTTGGGTTTAGGGGCTATATAACAGTAAAGAGAACAAAAGAGAACAATAGGTTCATTCCTTGAACGGCAAGTTGGAAATATCTTAAGTTCTATCTATACTAATGGCTTTATAATTTCCACACTTACTTATCAACACAAAGTACATGATATTTCCAAGTTATATAACTGTGTCATCCATAATTCCCAGTTATTTCCCTTTTTTCACTTTGAAAATAGGGCCTTGTCTGGTTAACCTATTTCGGCAAGTTGGATTTATCTTAAATTTCTCCTAATTGCTTAATCTCTTTAATGATATCTTTCATATTTAGTAGGTGGATGCCTTTGATGGTCCTCTAATTTTTTGTGGAGTAATTGGTCTCTAGGGTCAAGATCATTGGTTTAAAAAATAAATATAAACATTTTTGCTCATACAGCCTTTATTTTTTAGTTGATGTCTTAGTTTAATACAAACATGCCAAGGGAGGTCCTCCTTCTTTGGGTGTAGTAAGGGGTCATTTGGGTCAAGGTCAATGTTACCAATGTCAAGGTCACCAATGTTAAAAATAGATTTTTACATTTTTACAGGTGTATTGACCTTATTCTATAGACAGATGTTATTTATAATTGATAGAAACATAAACTTTGATGGAGTTAGTGGTCAGTTGGGATTTTTACACATTTGCTCATACAGCCTTTATTAAGTGACAGATATATTTTATATTTGGTAGGAAGATAATTTGCATGGCATACATCCTTTTGATTGGGGTAGGGATCAGTGGTTCAAGGTCACTTGTGCTAAAAATAGATTTTTACACTTTTGCCCATACAGCTTTTATTTATTGACAGATGTATTTCATATTTGGTAGGAAGATAACTTGCATGGTATTCTTCCTTTGGATGGAGTAAGGGGTCAGTTGGGTCAAGGTCACCAGTGCTAAAAATAGATTTTTACACTTTTGCCCATACAGCCTTTATTTATTGACAGATGTATTTTATATTTGGTAGGAAGATAACTTACATGGTATTCTTCTTTTGGATAGTGTTAGGGGTCAGTTTGGTCAAAGTCACCAGTGCTCAAAATAGATTTTTACACTTTTGCCCAAACAGCCTTTATTTAATGACAGATGTATTTCATATTTGGTAGGAAGATAACTTGCATGAAGTTGAATATTTTTCAACTTCACAAGTCAGAGCAATGACTTGGCAACTTATATTTTTCACAATTACAAAATGCCATGACTTTGTCAAGCTATATAACTTGTGTTTACAATTTTTTGGCAATTTTTGAATTTCTGTCCATAACTGAGTGAATGGGTAAACATTTTTTGAAATATTGCTACTGACAAGAATCTGAGCTGGGGGCATTTGTATTTAACAAAAACACGTTCTTGTTCTTTATAGATTTTGTTCATTAATTGATGTTGTTGAATTGAAGACTTTTAATTTGTGATGTATTTCGTTTTATTTCTAGTTGTCTATTTTAGAGAGTACTATGCCAAGCCTTATCTTCTTCACCTTTTTTAACCAATGTTTAATGCAATATAAGAATAATTATTAGTTATTCCCCTTCAGATGTAAATAAAAATACAGTGATGATCCTTTATAGTCATGAATAATTGATGTTAGAGTGATAGGTATTGAGTAATTTTGACTTAAGGAGATGGAGAGTTATTCCCTTTTAAATTATAAAAATACAAGAGTTACATCCCTTTATGTATAAAATATATATATATTTCAGTAACACAGCAGGTAATGATATAGCAGAGAGAACCATTGCAAACTGGAAGAGTAACATAGACAGAGAAAGTATCAAACTAAAAGAAATGGAGGAAGTTATCAGGCTTCCTGCTCTCAACAACAAAAGTTGGTCACAATTTCTTCCTATAGATATGTTGTAGTCCGCCCACTTGGCTGACAATAGGGAGGGCAGGGCATTAGACTAATAATCCAGGGGTTGTTGGTTTGCTAAGCAAAAGTAACTGAATGTAGTGAAATATGAAATTTACATATTGCAGATTGACTGTTGCAAGTTAAGGTTATCTATAACAACTTCTGTCTATAACATTAGGTCTCCAACATTATATAATATTACAGTACAATCTCTGTAGACCGCACCTCTATACAGTAGAGTATTCAAATCTTTAAAGCAAAAATATTAATTTTCCAAAAAAAAAATCAGAATAAATTAAACCTCTGTAGAGCAAAACCTCTCAGCAACAACCACGATCTTTGTCTCCAAAAGGGTGTTAATGATGTACATCTTTTATATATAATTTAAATATTGATATTACTGTTTAAATAGATAAAACATCTTTTTATAGATCAAATCAATGCGCCTAGCACTTTTTATTTTCTCCTTATGTCTTCAAACTTCTCCCTGATAGAAGCTGAGGGAGAAGTCACTTCTCCCTTAAATTTTGTTCTAGCTAGAGCCCTGGTTGTTCTACCGAGGTTGAAATGCATGTCCCTTTTTCCCCCAAGGAATGTATGAAGAACATTGACATATATTTAATAATTTTATATTAATTAACAAGAAAAAATTTAAAAGAAAATTTGAACTTGATTATGTATAAGGTTACCACTAACCAGTGAAATGAAATTTTTAGTGATTGATTGTCTATTGCAGGTGGCATGTGGCATAGTGAACTCATTCTGAAGAATTTAATAACAGCGTATATACCATTTCTACCATTAGAGAGAGGTCATGTTAAACAGTGTATTAAAGATGGACTTGTATATAAAGGGTACTACAAATCAGAAGAAGAAATTTCTGATGCTAAAGTACAAGAAATTGCTGACGAGCTGCAGTACTATCCAGAAGGGATAAATATATTCTCCACCACGGGTTGTAAACGTATCCACGAGAAAATAGACTTCATAATGGAAGAGCTTTGAGGAAATTATTTAGTACCATGAAAGAATAAATATATTCTCAACCACGGGCTGTAAATGTTTTCACGAGAAAATGGACTTCATAATAGAAGAGCTTTGAGGAAATTATGTAGTAACCCAATGGTATTGGTATAATTTCAACTACAGGCACAAGAAAACAGAAGTCATAATAAAGACCTCTAAGGAACTGAAAGTATTATTGTTTTGCTTAGACAACGGGTGTTTTATGCATTGTTGTGAAAATAAACATATTATTTGAAGAACTCTAACAAACTTCAGTGCTATTTTGAAAGAATGTTAACTATTCAACTATAGCGGTTATATTATGGGAAAAAAACTGTAACAAACTTCTTGTGAATTCCTGAAGGTATAGATTCATGTTTGTTTTTAACCATAGGCTGTAGATGAAATCATGAGATAATAGACTTCTATATGGCAGAGCTGTTAGAAATACTTGCTTCACAGACACATTATATGGTCAAATTATTCTGACCAGGGCCAAAAAAATATTGTATCACATATTTTGGTGTTGTTATTTTCTTAATAATTCTGAAAAATTGTAGCCGTCCACATACTCTGCATGATTCAATTTGACAGAAAAATGTGTTGTTAGGGTTAAGGAAAGTTGTTTTAGTACATAGGCTATGTCTCTTTAAATGAAATATTGTGTATATTGTAAACTAGGTTGACATATGTTGCTCTTTTCCCCTTTAAATGGACTCCATCAACGTTTTTTAAAATGTAGAGGCTGGAACTAATTTTTTGAGGTAAATGTTTCATTTGATTTAGGTCTAGACCAATAGTTTATAACTTGTGTGCAAAATTTTAGATCATTCGCTCACTCCGTTTTCCCAGAATAATTAGTCTAATTGGTAAAATTGACTTAAAATTGAGAATAGCACAGAAATATGATTTTCAATTTTTTTTCTAAGTATATTTTCTAATTTCACCTGCATTAAGTGTTCTGATCGATCTATGTAAGAAATTCAAATTTTATAATTTCAGGTTTTTCACCTCTGTGGAGTTCCTTTAATTTTCATAAGTTGGAAATATCAGTAAAACTGGAAGTTAGCTTGCAGCATTTAATTGAATATCTAATGACAATATCAATTCAGTTTCAAATAAGATAAACTGAAATCAATATTTTTGTTATGAGAAATTATTTATATTATTGTGACAGAATATATTATAGAAGTACAGTTTGGTGTGAGTGCATGTGAGGTCTGTAGTTTGATCACAAGCCATAATAAATGAAAAAAAAAGCTCTAGGGTCTTTCATTGCTTTCATTGTGCATGTAGTGTTTTATACAGAGTTAGATTCTATCATATTGTCAATTTAGTGCAATAACAAGTTAACTACAATTAAATTATATAAGGAGTTAACCCTTTACTGCACTAAGGTGAAGATATATATTCTATTTGTTGTCATTGTGATATTTTGTAAGTTTATTTATATGCGAGTCAAGAACTATCATCATACCACAGGTTAGTAATGTCCTAGTACAACTAATTTTACTTCACATTGAGATATTGTGCTACTTTGTGTATGAGCAATATCTTCCCTCTCAGAACCGAGATTCTGACCCAGAACAAAAATATCTCAGAATCTAACTTTGGCATATCAAAATATTTTGACTAGTAAATTGAAATCACTGTATGTTAGGTCCTGAGAAGTGCAACAAAGCTTTTGAAACCTACCTAAAGCAACTGTTGTTCTTTTACCAAGATCTCTTGGTGCTTGGTTTTATTTTCCACTTTATTGTTTGATAGTATTAACCTTTAGGCTGCAAACGACAACCAGTGCAGACCAAGATCCTTTGGAACATTCCTCCATTTAAGATATTTAAGGGTGGTAATGATTTATAACTACAGAATGAAAAACTCTTTAGTTTCCAAAGAGTTACTTCAAATGTAAGAAAAAGTCCATTGCTATTCTAATTGTTTTTGATGCTACATCATGGGGTATTTTTCCACCTTTTTATTGTTGGTTAAATTGATAAAAAAATGGTAATTAACTGTGTTCATTAACATAATTTATGCATTATTTTTTCAAATACATTATTTTTGCATGTTTTCATCTTTTCTTTTCAATTATTTTAATAAAAAAAAGCATTTTTAGTGAATATATATTCACCAAAACAAATTTAAAATTAATTTTGATTTCAAAAATTAATTTTGTTACCTATTTAATATACAGTATTGTTTTGATTATGAACATTAATTCAATTATATTGTGGGTAAGATTTCTACCATAGTTTACAGTTAACTCCATTGCAGCAAAAATGGCTTATAATAAAAAATACTGCTTTAAAATGATTTTCAAAATATATACAATGTACATAGTAAGCATTTATACTAACAAACTCTAAATGAGCCGCCTCACAACAAAACCAACATAGTGCGTTTGCGACCAGCATGGATCCAGACCACTATGTTGGTTTTGTCGTGACGCGACTCAAATTAGCTTCAAAATTCATGTCCAAATTTGCACTTCTCTGTTGCTTATTTTAGTCATGCTGACTGAGTGATTTTAGGGAGGTTTGAAGATGGCCGCCTATTTCTGTAGTTCACAAGATAATTGACAAAAATTTTAAATGTTAATGGAATGTTCAGAGGAAGCCTACTTGAGATTTTGATGGTTATCGAATAATTGTACTTAACTTAATACATAAATAAAGTGTATTATTCTTACATTAGTTTCAATATTACAAGAATAAAAGTGCTTTCTGTTTGTATAAAAGTGCTATTTCACGTAAAAGATTGTTTTGCATTATTTATTGGTTTAGTTTAATGCATGTTCATAAATAAAAATACTGAAATTGTATTTACTCTTATTCCATTTGAAAACCTTCAGAGCATACTTGTACCTATTGCATGTGGTCTTACCTCTATGAGGCATTAAATGAAGTAAACCTTGATGTGATGTGTTCCTACACTAAGGCTGTATAAAATCAGTTTTAAAATCAACTGAAATTTTATTAACATTTTTACCAAGTAAAAGAAAAGCTTGGGTGTTACAATATACTGATGTATATAATTTTTAAATGTCTTAACTGTAAATTCACTTAATTTTAGTGGGTATGAAAATTCGTGGTTTTGTCAAAAATGACATTTATGTGGGTTTTAAAATTTGTTTTGACATTTTCACATTTGAAGCATGTAGAATACATAACTAAGCAATGCACTGGCTTAGTAAGCTCAGATTTGGCAAAGAGGTTGTCCTTGAGCTCTAAATGACCACTGTTGATTCTGACAAAGTGGTATGCGGGTGTATTCATGCCATGACAGTGGCAGTTCTAGTTTTCAATAATTTACACAAAGCAAAATTTGAAATGTAAAAGTTATGTTCTAGAAACTTATATTTATATACTTTATTGTACAATGTCATATAATTTCTAGAACTCAATTGTCTTTAGAAACACAACAAATGATCGTCCATGTACTTCATAATAAAGCAGTGTTTGCTTGTTACTTGACCAATATGATTTATGTCTCTTATATCAAGACTTGCAGATAAACCATTTAAATATACAAAAAAATAAAAGCATTTTTTTATATCATTGATTACTTAGTAAAAACGGATAAGTTAAGCAGGAAAGCAATCAATCTTTGTTGCATTAACAAAGTTCATTAGCAAGATAAGTCTTAATACATGATTATTCTATGATGAATACTGATTTCCAGTGCAACCCTCAGTACAACCTATAAAGGAAATCCCCTGTAAAGTAATAACCTCTATACAAGAACAGCATTATTTTTTTCCAAAGTATACTCAACATCACTTATTCCATGCCATCATTTATTTTATGTGACAGTGTTAAAATTGGTCAGAATTCAAACACCTAAACAACAAAATTTTTGTGCAAAATATTTTAAATCTATAGATTTTTACGTAAAACAGAACAACATTAAATTTTTACAAACTTCTGCTAAAAGCAACAATAGTCCGTTAAAGTGCATACGTCTGAAACAATCATCATTTTCTAAACGTTTTTGTTTGTTGAAAAAATAAATTTTGAGTTACAATGTAAAGATACTTGTAATATTTAAAATTATGCAAAATAACATGTACAAATTTTAACTGAAATATGAAAAAAACTGAAATAAAACACCATTACCGGATTTAAATGATATACTGTTTTCAAAATGGCCGACATATGGTCTACGTCTGGCTCATTTAAACTGATTTTGACTAAATATATTGTTGTTTCCTCGTGTCATACAGCAGAAAATACCTATATGATACAGCTTATGACAATTTTTGTATCATAAATTTTATGTGTTGTTTTCTTTTTTGCTTCAAAGCGTAAAGTACCATGAACTAAGAGGAGCACAGTATAAGTCCTTACAGAAGTTAAATCTCTCTTGTGCATCACCTCTTAACAACGACCAAAATATTTGAGTCCTAAAAGGAGTTGCTCTGCAGAGGTTTTACTGTATGTTAAATTCTAATTGTTGATATTATTAGTACATGATTAAATCTATTTTCTGGTCTACACGTTTACAACCATTAGCAACAAAAAGTTGTATAATTATTCTCTGGGAAGTACACCAATTCGCGACTAGTCCATATTTTATTTCATCAATCGATTTGTACAACTCTTTCCGAATAAGTCCTTGTTTAATACATTGCTTCACGTGTTTTCTTTCAAGTGGCAGAAATGGTACGTAAGCTGTGATTAGATCATGTTTTATTAGTTCACTTATGGATTGCCGGTAGGGACATGCCACTTTGCTTATTTGCCAACTACTTAATTGCTTATTTGCTGATTTGCCAATTTGCTGATTTGCCAATTTGCTTATTTGCTAATTGCTTATTTGCTTATATACATAAATTTTTATGCTATTGTCAGGCGACACGTCCGACTCACGTAGTTATGGTTTGATATAAAATAACAAGTCTTTGTAGACTTTATTTCAAGCTCATGAACCTATATCATGTTATTATGTTTATAAGGTTTTGTTAATTATAACTTGTGACAATTATGATCAATCCATCATTACCTAGAATAGAGGTAGAAAGACAGATGGATACATTTTAATCAATTTCGAAAACAATAAATTCAGTTTCAGAAAGTAGTTGTTTTTTAATTATCTTGAGTTTCACTTTTAGCTCCACATTTCAGAGAATAGGGATGCTATTCTACCCACCAATGCATTGGTTTTCTTGGTATATCTCTGTTACTTTTGCTGATTCATGCATCTTACTGCAATTTTGCATAAACTTTGCGTTACAAGCATGCATACAAAGTACATGAAGAAGCTGTGCCCGTTATATACTGAATGTCAAGGTCACCAATGTATTGTACTGAGAAGCCTTTGTTTTTCTGTCATATCTCTGTTACTATTGCTTATATCTTACTGTAACTTCACATAAGCATTAAATAGGCAGCATGCATACACAATATTCAAAGAGGCTTTGTCCATTATACCCTAGGTCATGATCATGGTCATGGTCACCTGATAGCATGTAAAATGTACAACATGAAGAAATGGAACATGACCAAATTTCAAAATCATTAAACCAAAGCAAAATGTTGATGCACACAATGACATAAGTGATCTCAAAATCTTACAGAGCTAAAAACGAAGCCTATTGCTTAAGTGCAAAGACAAACACCCGTGTTAAGCATGCACCAAATGTATCTTTTTTGATACTATGTGTTCGTACCACTAAAATGAGGCCCTCTGTGACAAATCTGCTGAGAATAACGACATTTTATATGCCATAAAATAAGAAATAGTTTTGTTTTCAAGTTCTTTTATTTTCAATCTTTACCCAATAATTTTAACTTATATATGACTGATGAAGTGTTTATTATGCCTTAAGCTGCACAAACAGATCTATAGCTGCAACACATTATAAGTCATTCTCAAGCACAGATGCTGGCGGGTCAGATCCTGCCCCTAACGTGATACGCGTCTGTAAACACTATATAAAAACTATTTTAATATTTATTTAAATACGAATTGGACATTTGTTACAACGATAAAACCATTAAGTACTTTATTGAGACTTGGTGGTATATGGTATTTTTTCATACCGGTATATGTAAAAATTGCTTGAAAACCAGTTTTAACGATGTCCAGTTCGTGTTTAAATATTAAAATATTTTAAACAGAGTGTTTAAAGGGGGCACGTATCACGTTATGGGTACGGGATCTGACCCCAAGCGTCTGTGTTCTCAAGGAAATGTTAGCCATCAGTTGTAGACATATATCTGCGTAGGCATCACTGCAACCAAAATTTTATTGACCAACAGTATTCTTGGAAAAACACTGAATGTACAAGAATACTGTTGGTAAAAGTTTACAGATCTGACTCAAATGATTGTATGTAGTCAGATTTTATTTATGCTTCCGGCACAGTGTAAACTTTTTCTATTGCAAAAAAGCAAATTAGCAATAGGCAAATAAGCAAATACGTAAACCAGCGGTTAATAAATAAGCAAATTAGCAATTCAGCAATTGGCAAATAAGCAAATTTGTTGTTAAGCCTATCAGCCATTGGCAAATAAGCAAATCGGCAATTAGCAAATCAGCAATTCAGCAATTGGCAAATAAGCAAATTGGCATGTCCCTACCGACATTCCAAACCACCTGCAAAAAAATACAATCGTAATAATGTTGTGTTTCACAGCAGCAGTAAGGAACATCTTTTAAGATTATGTTTTGTTGTAAACTTAACATTGTTGTAATAGAGGAAACGGTCGGTTTGATAATTCCAACGAACAATAGGATCCATAATAATAAATAATGTGTGCTGATAAATCCAATGAATAATAGAACAATAATAAATAATGTGTGCTGATAAATCCAATGAATCATAGAACAACAATAAATAATGCGTGCTGATAAATCCAATGAATAATAGAATAATAATAAATAAAGCGTGCTGATATATCCAGTGAATAATAGAATTATAATAAATAACGCGTGCTGATATATCCAGTGAATAGTATATTAATAATAATGCTTACAGATAAATCCAATGAATAATAGAATAATAATAAATAATGCGTTCTGATAAATCCAGTGAATAATAGAATAATAATAAATAATGCGTGCTGACAAATCCAGTGAATTATAGAATAATATTAATGCATGCAGTTTCATCAAATGAATAATAGAATAATGATAAATAATGCATGCTAATAAATCCAATGAATAATAGAATAATAATAAACTAGAAATGTGTTCATAGGACACGGGTGCTCCAACACATTTGTCAATCTTATGTCTCTAGGTTAATTTTTTTTTTTGGCTACATGTGCCCAAGTTGAAAACTAAATATCTTTTATTAAGTAAAGGGCAAATACTACAAATACTGAATAAATCCACAAGAAACACCGAAGGTGCATAAGTACACATGCTGACCAACATTCTTGAAAACTTTCAGGTCTACAGGTCAAATACTTTTTGAGTTACGTGCAACGCAAGTTGAATATTGTATTGAATATGTTTTACTAAGTCAATGGCAATAACTCTAAAAATACTAATTATATCCACACGAAAATACCAAGGTGCACAACTACACATGCTGAGCAACATTCCTGTAATGTATTATGACTCTAGGTCAAATACATTTTTAGTTACATGCGACACAAGTTGAAAATTGGAAATATTTACTAATTCAAGGGCAATAACTCTAAAACAATACTAAATATATCCACACTTAAATACCCAGGTGAACAGCTAGACATGCTGAGCAACATTCTTGAAAGGTTTCATGAATAGGTCAAATATTTTTGAATTACGTGCGGAATAAGTTGAAAATTGCAAATTTTTACTAAGTCAAGGGCAATAACTCTAAAAGTACTAAAA